AAAAAAAGGGGGCAGGCTAGTGGGTAGCTCATGGTAGAGCACTTGCCTAGCTTACACAAGGCCCTGGATTTGATCCCCAGCATAGGAAAAAAAAAGGGGGCAGGCTAGTGGGTAGCTCATGGTAGAGCACTTGCCTAGCTTACACAAGGCCCTGGATTTGATCCCCAGCATAAGAACAACAACCAAAAATTAAAAAAAAAAAAAAAAAAAACTGTTGGGCTTGGTTTTCACAAGTTTCCTGGGTTTCTCACCCTTTGAACCAAGGTGGTTCCACTTTCATCTGTCTTTTGTATCAAGAGCTCTGTGTTTAGATTTCTGCAAAAGGAAGTTAGAAATGTGCAGATATAAGCCCATCCCACCCAAGGTTTTCTGAAACACTGACCTATAGGTGTTGGGGGACTTGGTTGTTCCCTGTTCACTGTGGGCCAGCTCAGAGTGCAGGAGGTCAGGTGACTGAGGAGACAAACCTTTTCTGGCGGCTCCCTTTCCACTGCCTGGCCTCAAGGGCCTCAGAAAATTCCTCTAACCCTGTTTTGCTGGGGTTGGGGGACAGAAGATTGGCAGCAGGTAGAGTATTGCTTACCCTGAGAGTGCTTTGCTGGAGAAGTGGTTGCAGCCCAGCCTGTGGGAAACCAGGAAACAAACTGTGTGGGTGAGAGGGAAAGAGAGACAGAGGCTAGGATTACTGCATGGGTGGGTATGAAAAAGAAAGAGATGGGGAAAAGAAAGAAGGAGAGAAAATGGTTCTGTCTATACGTAGGTGTGTGACCGTGGGTGTGCAAGAGTGGATGTGCCTGTAGGAGAGAACGGGAACGCAAGAGAGCGTTCAAAGTGTAGGTGTGTAGCAGAAGAACACAGAAAAGAACAAGCTTTAACCTGTATCTGTGTGCTGGTATGAGAAAGCGGGCACATGTCTGCTATGTGTTTTCAGGTGGGACTATTGCTCTGTAAGCAAATCTAAAGCACATGTCCACATGTGACAGGCATGATGGGTGACAGGGCCTTCAGGAGGGTGCGTGCCAGTGTCTACCCATTGTCCAGGTGTGTGAGTGCCTGAGGGTACTCATGTGTGCAGCACGTGTATCATGGATACGTGTGTACGTGTGAGTGCACAGTGAGGTATATTGGTGTGGGGGTGGAAAGGGCAGTGGGCAGCTTTCTGCTCAGCCTGAGCCTGAAAAGCAAGGACCTTGTCCTTGGCCCGTGACTACTCTCAGCTCTTAGCCTGGGTGCAGGCTTTTCTGTTTAATCAAAATCAGTGTGCAGCCAGGAGTGTGACTCATCTGACAGCCTAGACCCCCACTCTCACCCCAAGACCATCCTGAGGCTCAGAACAGTGTCCACTAGAGTGGAGAGGCCTCCACACCCTCTAAATACCCCCACTCCCAAAACATAAAGGTCACCAGCAAGGGAGACGCCACCTCAGCAGTGGGTCTCAGGCCTCCCCCATGCATCTGAAGGGGAGAGAGAATGTGGTTTGTCCAAATCCCCCCACCTACTCCTAGAGCCTGAACAACCTTTTACCAGCCCCAGGTGGGTGGAAGAACACGGCCTGCTGCCTCGTCTCCATGGAGACAAGGCAGCCAAGAGGGTGTTTAAAAACATGGGGCCAGACCTCTCAGGGTTCAAATCTCAGTTCCTCCACCCACAGATTGTGAGAGTTTTGATGATTCCTTTAAATTCTATAGATCTTAGTTTCCTCATCTGTAAAACAGAGATAAGAAAAGTATGAACTGCAGAGGGCTGTTTAGAGCATGAAATGAAGTAGTCCAAACGAAGCATCTACACAGTGCCTGGCAACCAAACAGTGAGGTAGAAGCCAGGGGTTCCAGCCTTTAGCTTTGCCACCAATTTACTGTGTGACTTTGGACAAGTCGATTGTTCTCTGGGCTTCAGAGCCTCCATCTGCAACGATAATCTCAGTGAGCTCAGTCATAACCAGCTGAGACTTTAGAAAGGATGGCTACAGCCTGGGGCTTTCTTGGTGAGTTATGGACCAACTGGTTTGGCTAAGACCTGATTGTGAGCCCTGTTACATTTTCCTTCCCACATATATGCTCCCAGGTTGGAGACAGCTGGTGACAAGAAACTTGAGCTTCAGGCTGATGCCCACCTTGGCAGGGACCACATCTGCTTGTCCAGTCTGCAGCCCCTCCCCTTCCAGCCTGCCAGATGGTATTCAGACCTTAGAGAAATAGTACCAGTACCTACTGACCCCAAGTGAAGATCTCTGCAAAAGATGCCATGTTCATACTTAAAAAAACACCAGGGAACACTCCAAGAGGCAGGTATAATTGCAAAAGGATGGGGGTAATTGTCTGATGATGCTTATAATCCTTTGGCAGTAATGGAGGAAGCTTTAAAAGGAAGCCCTAATCCACTAATAACCTAGCGGTACCACAGGCTTTTTAGGCAGAGGGAAGCGACTCCGGCCACACCCTTTCCCCAGGGAGCAGAAAGTCCAGCGTGGGCTCTGACCCAAGACCACCTGAATTTTGTCTCTCCTGCAAGACCCAGCTTCCTTCCTGTCCCCACCTCTGAGAAATCTACCCATTCTATCTTCCTGAGGTTACTCCTGTCCCTAGAAATGTTCAGGCTAGAACTAGGTGACCAGCTGATTGGATATGAAAGGAAAAAAATGAACCAGGCTGTTCAAGGCAAAGAACAGCATCATGGTCTCAGTGCAGGTACTGACTGTTGCCTTGGGCAGGCGACTTGAATCTGTGAGCCTCAGTTGCTTCATCTGTAAAGAATTATTTCAGAGAGTAGAGAAGGAGAATGACCCCAACGTGGGACACTGATGGGTTACATGCAAGGTCATCCTTTCTCCTCTCCTCTCTACCCATGCTCTTCCACCCCAGGTTTCCACAGACAACACACACAATTCCAGAACACAGTGATGGCTAAGAGCACATGCCCGTATTCAAAACACTGTGGTTGAAACATGTCCTAGCATCTTGCTAGGACAAATGTCCCGCATCTCGGACACATCCCTTACATTCTCTGAGCCTCAGTCTTTTCATCTGTACAATGGAGATGATAACACTGCATCCCTGGGGGACTGCCATCCGACTGCATGAAGTAATACCGGTAAAGCTCTTTGCACAACAGGCTTAGCACAAGAAACCTCAGCAAACAGTCTACTTGTTGAGTTGATGATGATCATTTCAATTGTTATCAATGTGCCCACATACATATCCAGATGACTATAAAATTTCCAAAACTTTGCCACCTCCAAAGTCAGTGCGACCTCACAACAGCTTTATGAGGTAGATAGGATTCATAGATTTATTTCACTTTCACAGATGAAAACACTGAAAGTCACCAAGGGACTTGCTAGGGTTTGGCCAGTGAGCATCAGGCCCAGACCCATTATCCCTGTCTCCTGACCCTGAGCCCTGGTGTATGTGAGGGGAGGCAGCAGAACCTGGGGTCTCAGGCTCCAGGGGGCCCAGTTTGGACTGACTCTGGAGTGGGGGCCCACCTCCCCAATTTAAGTCTGGTGAGCCTGGCTGGTGCCCTCCTCCTGCCCCGGAGGCACTGAAGGCCCCTCTTTGCTGCTGCCCAGCTCTCTGGGTGACCCAAGTCTGGGTGGGAACTGTGTTCATGGGGGGTGATCAGAGACTGGAGAGAATTATTTCAGAGAGTAGAGTAGGCGGGAAGGCTGGTGAGATGCCAGCCTGGGCGTCAGCAACGCCTGCAGAGAAATGAAGTGTTCCTTCAGTTTCCTGACGCATGAGCCCTCCCAGGACTATGTCCCCCACATGCCCTGCACCTCTGAGATCTGCTGGCAGCAGTTCCTGCCTGAGCTGAGCATGGCCCGGCTCACGTCCTCCCCATCTGGACCCACTTCAGGTTTCCATGGGCCCTGGTGGTGGAGGTGATTCAGCGTGGGTCTCCCTGCCCCGCCCTGCTCGGCAGACTCCAGTGCCCGAGGGGAAAAGGATCCTCCTGCCTGCCTTCCTCCATGCCACACCTGCAATGCTCCCCACACGCTGTCACTGGATCCCACTGCAGCCCGGGTGACACGACTTGTCCTTTGTCATCTCTAACAGATGGGAAACCTAGGTGAGGAATATGGACCCAGCTCAGCCACTAATTGGCCAAGTAACCTCTGACAGTCTCCTGCTCACTCTGAGTCTGTTTCCCCACTGAGATTGGACTAGATGAAGGGCTTTGGTGGCTAGCTTGAGGGCAGGGACCACATCTGCTTGTCCAGTCTGCATCCTCATATGCCCAAGTCACTCGAACTCTCTTCATTTAATGAGGGGTCCTGCCCCATCAGATGATTGGGACTTTCATGGTCATTCATTCCCTAATCATTAAAGGGCAGCTGAGACTGAGAAACGGACTTTTTTCCAACCAAGCATGATAATGTGGTTTTCTTTCACTGCCTGCTCACGTGCCCTCTTTGGCAGAAAAAGAAGTGAAGTTAGACACAGTACAGCTGGACCTGCCCTTAACCCACAGCTGCTTCTATCTCTCCACAGCTGCCAATCTGGGCATGCTTGAGGGACTGCGACAGATTGTCATGTTTCCTGGGAACATATATGAAGGAACCCCTGCTGAAGGACCTCTGGGGAGAAGGAATGCAAGCTTACCTGGTTTCTGGGCCACCCTGGGCCCAGGGCCGGGGCTGGGGCTGACTGTCACCACCTGCCGGGCCTTCACCATATCCCAATCCTGGTTGGCCCTGTTGTCATGCTGGGACCCCTCTCGTGCTTCCCTGGAGCAGCTGGATGGCTGAATGCCCAGGGCTCTGGACATCTGTGGCAGCCCTTGGGTGGCTCTGCAGGCAGAGTTGTCTCTGCTGCTGCTGCTGTTGCTGCTGGCCACCTTGTTGTCTTCCAGGTCCATGGGCCCCGCCTCTCCCTGCAGGCCCTCTTCACTGCCGCTCTCCTCGGCCTCCAGGGCCAGGCACCTGTAGCTCCCATCGGGGATCTGGAAGGTGCAGGGGGTAGGCCTCCCTTCTCCAGGCCCCAGGGGCTGTGGTGGGAAGTGAGGGCCCAGCATGAGGCTGCCTTTCCTGATGAGCAGGCGCTGGCCCTGGGCTGGGGCAACTGCCTGAGCGCTGCTCTGGGCTCCTCTTGGTGGTGTCCTCTGGTTCTCTGTAGATCCACCTTCACAGAGTTGGAACGAGGTCCAGCTGAGAAGTAAGATAAGTCCTTTCTGAGCTGGGTGAGGAGGTAGGCCCCCAACACCTTCTTCTTAACCCTTCTTGACCTCTGGAAGGAGAGGCCCCTTCAGGGAGATCTATCTGTACAGGGAGAAAAGGAACCTCACATGAGACAGCTCACCCAGTGTTCTGGGCTGAATTCCTGAGACCTGTCCATCTGAGGGTGGGCCTGAGAATTGACTGGGGTTTGGGGTAAGGGCCCCACACATGCACAGGGAAGTGTTGCCCAAGCTTCAGTCACTCAGCATTCTAGATTGGCACCATCTGTGTGTGCTACCTGACACTCTACGGACTTCATTTTTTTCCTTCAATCAACTTATATAACTGACTTTAATACTTTAGACTTTCTTACAGAAAAATCACAAGTGTATTGTGCTAAGTCATTTCCCCTGATTCACATTAAATAAGTATCTAGTTATTTTAAAATATTTATCTGAGCATGGCTGAGAAAGAATTCTTTGACATTCCACCCAAAGTACGTACACAACAGTAATCACAGGAACAGCGGGTGAGGATACAAGACTGGGGACGTATACTTTCCCCCATAATGTTCCAGAGGCCTTACCACAGGCCCAGAGCAATAAAACCAGCCCTCTAAAACCATGAACCAAAATGAATCTTTTCTCCTTTAATTTTCTCAGGTATTTGTCCCAGTAACAAACACTAACCCAGAGGGATCACCATGGTGGGCACTTATATGCCTGGGCTCTGAGTTTGACCTGTGATGGTCTCTGAACCTCCACTTCCCCACCTGCAAAATGGGTATTGTAATACAGGTGGATCATCCCTAAACTGGAAATCCAAAATCCTAAACATTTCAAGACCCAAACTTTTGGTGGGAACAACAGGATACCACCACAAGTCCACCTTCCATGCCTGACCTCATGTGAGGGTCGCAGTAAAAACACAGGCACACTAAAAATACTGTGCAAAATCTTATGCAGGCTACATGTAGATATGAAACAAAAATGAATTTCAGTTTAGACTCGGGTCTCCTCACCAAGATGCCTCATTATGTATATGCAAATACTCCAACAAGATCTGAAAACATCAGAAACAGTACTGGTTCCAAGTTTTTCAGATAAAAGATAACTCAACCTATCTCTCCAGTGTCACATTGAAAGTTAAACTGTCTCAGTGTTCCACTGAGGGTTAAATGAAAAAAATGCATGCAGAGGACTGAGCACGGTTTCTAAGGCATGTCTTTGTACATTTTGGCTATTCTCTCTTTCCACAAAAAAAGTTCTTAAGCTCTTATTCTATTTCAGATATCATAAAAATTCCTGGGGATTTAGTGAAGATAAAGAAGATATGATACTCTGCCTCATGAGCCTTAAAATCTGGTGGTAAGAGCTGTGAATGATAATAAGGACAATAATAATAATAGTATGATTATTTATAAACGTTAAGAGTGATGAGAGTCAGCGGAGAGGGGACAGAGGCTTCCTGAAGGGAAAGCGAGGAGGAGATGGATGAGAGAGGTTCTTGGGCGGAAGAATTGGCCAGGCCTGAAAGCAGATGGAGAGTGGGTGTGGAGGAAGGGGGAGGAGCCCAGGATACAGCGCAGGTCCCCAGCTCTGGTGACAGAGTGATTTTGTTAATAAAGATCAGGAATACATGGGAAGGAGCTGGTGGTGTTCAGTGGAGCAGGGAGATGGGTTTGATTTTTGAATTTTCAGGGGGAGGTGAGCAGTAGGTCCACAGATGGGGGAGAGTTCCAGATTGGAATGGAAGGTTTGGAAAGTGTTTGTGGGGGTGGAGTGTGGAAGCAGACGGGATCCCGTAGGTTGAGCAGGTAGCACTTCGGAGAGGGCTCAGGGCAGATTGCACTTCATCATATTGAATGACTTGATCCCCCATGACTTAGCTGTGTGGACTCTCTAAGTCTCATGTATCCTGTTGGAAAATGGGGAGAGAGCCACATGCCATGAAATCTGTGGACGTGGATGACCTCAGGGGCTGGACCGACCTCAGTGGCAACACTCACCCCTCCATCCCCCAGCAGAGGTCATGTGCCCCCGCCCCACTGCAGCAAGCTGGGTGGAGGCCTTGGCTGCTGGTTGGGGCTGGGCCAGGAGAGTCTGGTAGGCATGCAGAGAGATAAGTGTATCACCAGGCGCTAGGACAAATCAGAGCCAACCAGGGCAAAGGCAAAGGTACGTCAGAATCAGAAAGATAACCAGGCACCTGTTAGAGCAGCCTGGGCAGCGGGAATCAGGAGAAAGCTGACGACCCGTGCCTGGGGAGAAACAGAAGCTCCCAGGCTGAGCACCTACCCTGATCCAGGTGGGTCCAGTGCTTAGGTTATTACCATAAATTCTCACAAGCCTCCAAGACAGGCACTTTATTATTATCTCATCTCAGAGGTGAGGACGGCGAGGCTCAGAGAGGTGAAGCAACACAGCCATTAAGGGACAGGGCTGGGATTGGGACCTGGCTGTGACACCTTGACAGTAATGCTGGAGCCAGGGACACAGAGGAGATGGCAGCCGGCCCTCAGTCCTCTCCTGGAGCATTCTCACTCACCAGCTGCTGCCACACTTCTACCATTTGAGCTTCAAAGATCTTAGCATCTCTTGAAGGGCCAGGAGAATTCTGAAGAGACCTAAATGGCTATATGATCCTGGCCAGATGGCCTTGCACTCTGGAGTCAGTTTCCCCAAGGGCACAATTTAGGGTTGAGACAGATGGTGCTGGAGGGGCCCTATGCTCTGGCGTTGCAGGATCCCATGATTCTCAGCTCTGGAGTCAGCCACCCCCACCGCCACCAGAGCCAGATGGCAGGAGGCAGAGGGAGTGGGCGACGGGAGGGGGCAGGGCTCTCCGACTCCCTGCAGGGGCCTCGCCTCACTCTATCCCTGCTTCTGTTTTGCTGCATTTGACAGTGGCCACGGTTTCCAGGAAAGAAGAGAGAGGCGGAAAAGTTAACTTTCCGCCACCCACACAAATATTTTTGGCTGGCGTTGTCTTTGGGCTGCCAAGCCAGGAGGGAGGGGTTGGCAGGAGCACTCCAATTCAAGCCTCCCTCCCCTGGAGGGAGGACTCCCAACCCCGCTGGAAGGTGTGGGCAGGCCCTGCACAGGCCTGAGCCCTGGAACACCCACCCTTGGTGCCCAGGACCCAGTGATAATGGTAACTGCCACTTCCAAGTGCTAGGCCAGCCCCTGACCATACACTCCTGTGAGGCAGGTGGATGAGCACGGTCCACAGATGAGGAAACTGAGGCACGGGGAGGAAAACACAGGGGTGAGGGGCAAAGCGGGGTGTGAGTCAAGGTTGCTGGGATCTGGGCTCCACCTACTGCTCTCTGGCTGTGGACTCTGTCTCCAGGGGTCCCCACAGCCCCTACGGCTGCTGAGTTGGAGGGCAGGCCCATCAGTGTGAGCCAGTCCCCTCCGTAGGCAAGAGAGGACCACCTCTGGCCTCAGCAGAAGTGGAGAGGGTCCTTCCAAGCTCTGGTTCCATTTCTACCCCCTTGCATACCCCTCATCTGACCCTAAAGCTCTAAAACTCCTGAGCTTTGGCAGCCAGGGCTGGTAGAGCCCTCAGAGCTGCTGATCTCATCTCAGAAGGGAACTCTGAGCCCAGGTTATATAAGGCAGGCTCTGGGGCACCGGTTGTAGCACCAGAGGCACAGCTGAGCATCAGAGGCCCCATGGTCTGAAGGCCTGACGGGACATGCTGGGGCTTCTGTTGTTGGCTTCTGGATGGGTGGGCCCAGGGATCGTGGCCTTGAGACCCTCACATTCTTTCCAGGGCTTCTTTTGGAGTGGGGGAAGGGCACTGGCTTGGAGTCAGACCCAGGTTCTAATTCCGACTCCACCATCCGGTGGCTGCCTGATCCTGGGCCAGTGCCTTATTTTTCTGAGCTACAGTTTCTCTGCAGAACAGGGTTTGAAATGAGGCCTACTTCCCAGGGTTGTTGCAGGGATTAATAGAGAAAACATAGGCTCATTGCAGCACCTAGCAGGGCAGGAGAAGGCACTGCTGTGTGCTCACCCGCTGGGCTCGGCAGGCACTTGGGGAGCTGCTCCTTGGAGCCTGTGCTCAGGCTGCAGTGAGCACAAAGCATGTCCTGCCTCCCTCAGGTGCCCCACAGGCGGGAAGAGCATGGATATTGCTGCAGAGGAAGCTAAAGGGAATGAGGAGCTCTGAGCAGCAGGGCACAAATAGGTACGTGACAGGGGTCGGCCATGGAGTCCTTGTTTTATCTCTCTTGTGGCCTCGCTGGGTCATGCTAGGGAAATCACAGCATCTGATTTCACACATGGAAGACAAAAGTAGGCTGAGAGGAGAGAAGTAGCCAATTCACTCCTTCCAAGGCCCTTCTGCCAGAATTCTCCCTACCTGACCTCCCTCCACCTATAGTTTTCTTCCTTGTCTCTATACTATTATAGTCTGACCCCTCTTCCCAAAGTGCAGCTCTGAATGTGTTGCTCACCTGCTCAAGAGCATCCCATAACTCCCCACTGCTCATAGAATAAAATCATGTTAACAAAGGGAAATGCAAATTTAAAGGCAGATTTCATGATTCTTGATTGAGGGGAATGAAGGAGGGTTTCCTCAGGAAGAATATCTATCAAGGCCCAGGGAAAACAAGAAGGCAGGGCCACTGGGGATAAATCCAGTGTAGAGAGTCTGAGGCAGCAGCATGTTTGAAAAGATGAAGAGAATTAGGGATAAGAGAGAAGAGGGTCAGATCGTGACAGGCTTGGATGACCTGGACTCTCTCCTGCTGGCTGAAGAGAGATGATGAAGAGACTGTAGGTTGGGGAACTGGGCAAGAGTGTCCCATGGGTGGGGGCTGAAGGCAGTGAGGCCAGAGCAGATAGCAGGAGGCTGAAGCAAGGGCTGGCCTAGAGGGGTCCCTGGGAGAGGAGAAGTTTGGGGCAAACTCCTCAGCACCTGGAACAGTGCCAGGCGGATAAAACAATGACGATGATCGTAGCTGATGGCCATGAACGTGTCCTATGTCAGGTGCTATTCCAGACACTGAGTGTGCGTGAACTCATCGGATCCTCATCACGAGCCTGGAAGGAAGGTGCTATTATTATCCCCATTCTACAGATAAGGAAGTCGAG